CATAATATGGATTAAGCCTTTAATTAAGCATAATTATCTCAAATGGGCCAAACTGGGCTATGAAACATAAATTTGGGCTCATGCACGGATTTAAGGTCATTACTATTTCGGCTAAGGCCCATCAATTTGTTTGGGTTTTTTTTTTCTTTAATTTCTTTTTTTTTTTAGCAAAGGCCAATCAGTTTCATATATTATATTTTTGGATAAACTACAATCATCTCCCTAAGGTAAAGTGTAATTGCGAAAAAATACCTTTATTTTTGAAAACTTATATCCAGCCCCCAAATAGTTTATAAATTTCCTACATCCACATCCTTCTGTAAGATGTTAATGCAAGAAATCTACAAATTACAAGGGGGTGGATGTAATTATGGAAAAAATGAGGGGTTATTTTATAAGTATACCTTACCTCAAGGGGGTGATTGTAATTTACCCTATAAATATTTTTTAGAGAAAATCATTCAAGATTCTTTTTTCCCTAAACAAAAAAAATCATTGCCATGCACTATTTGTTGTTTTTAACTCTGATTGGTGAGAAATATATATCTTCATGCCGCTCCCTCCGATGACTAGTGTCACTCTGATCCGAACCACGTAATCTCGACTCGTGTTGATTACTGTGTTATTAGATTTTTTTCGTTCGTAGAGTTTATGTTGGAAATTGCATGTGATTATATTGATTAGTTCATAACAAAAACGAATTAATAATCGAAAATTGCACGTGATTTTTAATTTTTAAGACGAATTAGTAAGAGAAGTGATATTTGAACAAAGACGATTAATAATCGAAAAATGATAGAAAAACATGTGATTTTTTTATTTTTTTTTTATTTTTAGGTACACACAAAAGGGAGGAAATAAAATTGTCCACTGAACCCTGATTTGGAAGCAAGCTCAGGGAAAAATATTGTCTTATCTCTACTATTCATCTGTCTCTGTTTAATGCAGGAACTGTGTTCATCTCTTGCCCAATGAAAATGACAGTTATGCCCTTTGTGATACAAACAAATTATTAAATTGGTGAAAGTGAGTGATCAAACGGATTAAATGCTGCTGCAAATATTAATAAGACAGAATTATAAACTTTTGTTTTTTTTTTTTTTTTTTTAATTTTGTAATTTTGTAATTTGAATTTCCCATGCTCATATTCAAGACCATAAAAATATATCATCCTTTTTATCCCACTTTATTGTTCTATCGATTAAATTCGAATGGAGTAAGACGAGTCCGATTCTGAGGTTGAATGTTTCTATAACTTATACCGTTCGATAATTATATAATTGGTTCTATAATTATATATTCGGGCCTTTGTTCGGGCTTTTCTATTTCCCGGGCCTCTTTTGAGTGTACGAACTTTTGTTCATGTATATGACATGTGATCGGATTTATGGAACTACTTAACTTCAAATAAGTGGGTATTTTTATTATAAATAAGAACAATTTAGAAATAATTTTCTCTTATTTTTTATTTTTATTAAATCAATATTGATTGATCAACTAATTAATTTATTTTTTGAATTTTTACCAGACATTCTCCGACAAAAAATTAAAAACTTAGATCCGACATAAATAAAATAATCACATGCTAACTTTAAGTACAGGCAGAATAACTTACATTGCAACGAGGCATTGTCTACTTAATTATTATTACCAATTCCCAACAAAATAAAGCTAAAAAGAGGGAGCATAGTACATTCAATAATACTCTTATAGTGGA